CGTCTCCTAGGAAATTTGTTGGTCGTGGGCGTGAACACAGGGAGGATCCATCACACTCACCTTCACGCTCACCCTATGATGGGGATGCAGTCTGGAGGAGAAGTTACTCATAGGTTTTAGTCGTTGGACATAAGTTCTGGACTTATTAATACACTATGTATACACTCAAAAATAAAAAAAATACATCGAACGTTTAGCGTATGCCAGCATTTTAGGAGATTCTGGGATGTCGGGCATACGCTGGTTAAATCGTCAAGGTGTGATAGGGCCCACAGTGGTCATCAGAAAAACATCAAATATGTTGAATACGTTGGAGATAAGTTCTTGACAAGTTAAGCATAAGTTATGCACAAGTTGCTCATAGGTTTTGGATAAGGTAGACACCACGAGGTATGGGTAACTTATCAAATAACAATCAAATAACTTATCTGTAACTTATGGCCCACGTATGACCATGTGCTGGATTACGTATTCCGGAAATTTTTGGGGCATGCTCACAATTTCTCACTAACGTATGTCGACGTGTGCCAGCGTGATTCAGCGTGTTCATAACTTATACGAAACGTAACCATAACTTATCCAACGTATTCCAGCATTTTTGCCTTTGCTTCACCTCTCCCAAATTGTTGGTGATCGCAGACAGGAGGCCTCTGATTGGTCAAATCTACATCCGCTCTACACTATGCATATTTCCTGTTTGATACCTTACCGGCTTGTTTTGTTTGTATGACCGCCATTGTGGAAAACGACTCGTGAGATTGGACAAGCTAGAAGAACGAGGTGCGCGAGAACGCTGGGACCCTTTTTCGCCCTCATGTCCCTCAATTGTCGCACAAACTTGCCCCCACCGCCTCTGCCGTATCTAGACCCACAGCTAGTTCGTTATTGTCCCTCTTGCTTTGTGGCGTGGAATAACATAGAGCAGACCACGCTTCAATATTGGGCATGAATCAAAAATAGCTGCGATAAGGTCAATACAACACACCGTTGCAGGGAGTATAACCAGCCCTTTAGTGCCAATTTACTGACCATGACTGCATACCTTAAAAGCTGATTTCTGCCTTGTTTTGAGCAACAAAGACAAATAAGTTTCTTTGGAAAAATGAAGCGCTCTAACCATTAAAATAGTCAATTTGTGAAAGGCTCTACAGAAGGTTACTCTGCCTCTGATAGGAGACTTACTGGAACAAAAGGTTTGTGTCTGTTTCATGATCAGTGAAAGCTGATTGTTTTTGAGGTGAAAACATCTTCTTAGGACTGTGTCCCAAACAAATACATTTAGGCTAGTCTCTCTTTATCAAAACATCTTTCAAGTAACATTTAAGAATAGCATTCTTTTTAACCTAAGCTTATTTTTGGAGGGGGGATTTCTTTCTGTAATAAACTGCAAGGTCCTCAAATGTTTTTCGTCCAAGTGCGTTTTAGTGTGAACTGAACTTTTAATCAAAAATGATTGTGTTTTGTTGTAGTTTTTTTTTTTTTTTTCTTAAAAGCTCAAAAAGAACAAAAATATACAGATTTTATGCTTACAGCAAAATCATGTTTACTAGAAAGAGTATATCCTAAGTAAGAGTATCCTAAGCAGACTGCAATAAGATCTACATCCACACTATGGTTCTTTCAACGTTGACCTTTGACCTACAACAGCTGCAATTAGATGCACTTAGTGTTTCCCAACAGTCTGTTACTTCAACTGAACAACTGGGAGGAACAAAAAGAGGCTGAAACCAAGAGACATTCTGCTTCTCTGTTTTCCTCCCAAGCCTTCACATTAGTGATGGTCCACCCCCATGTTTGTAATTAAACCCCACAGCTGTTTTAGTCACTTTAATTAGAGAGCCCCTCCCCCATCAAAGCCCAGCTGATCTAAGGGCTGTAAAACTGCAGGAACGTTTGTGATCATGTTGAAGTTATCTATTTAGCTCTTCCTGCTGCTCAGATCCTAAAGCTTGAGGTTCGATTTTGTTTTCCATCTAACTTTGTCACTTTCTTCAGAGTTTTCTATACTATGCAATCTGGGATGTAGTTAAGGGCAAGCTGCTTGACTCTATAGCAACCAACTTTACAAAGAGTGGAAAACATTGGGGGAGAATTTGCTTGTTTCCTTCAGCAGATGCTGCTTCTTATTAGAGAATCAAGTTTTTTCTTGCTGTTCTGTTTTCGTAGTTGCACGTTGTAGCAGGATCCTGTGTCTCACATTTGAACCTTTGTTGGATGTTCTATTTTTAATCTTTTAAAAGTGAAAAAATGAAAAGTTATTACTTTTAAATCTGTTTAGAAAAACAGTGGCTCCACTGTTTTATCTGGTTTTATAAAAACCCGTTGTGGGGAGTGGCCGCCGACTGGTTAGGGCATAGAGAGTGGAATCCTGAGGTTCTGAGTTCGAGCCCCAGTCCCACAGACTGCCACTCTGGGTCCCTGAGCAAAGATCCTTAACCCCACACTGCCTCCTGGGCGCTGCACAATGGCAGCCCACTGCTCCCCAAGGGGATGGGTTAAATGCAGAGAGTTCATATTGTTGCTCCGTACTTATGACAGTGTGATGACATTAAAAAATCTAGAAAAAAAGAATGAAAAGAAAAGGAACTTTCTAATTTAGTCTAAAATTTGAAAGGTTAAGTTAAAGCAGCTTTCAGCTCCTCTCTTGTTTTTATACCATGCTTCTTTAAGCCTTTCGAAGTCAACTATAGGCAGATATGAGTTAAAAAACTACCTTCAGTGCTACAGAGTATGAATTTATTCCTCAAATATTAGTTGTTTTCTTCCAACCTAGAAGAAAAAGCCTTCCCTTGAAAGGGAAGACCTTTCCAGACCAAAACAAAAAAACTGTGAGCAGGAATCCTTGCTCTTTGCCTTCCAATACCTGTCTCTGATTGGAGAAAGTGGGTGTTTGTTTACAGTGTAGGCACAGGGTTGCGAAGGTAGATGCTTCCTGCAGGAGGTGGGTTGACCCTTTCTATAGAGGATGATGATGGCCACTCGTTTTCACAGGACAGGGAGGAGCTGATACTCAGAGCTCAGAATGCATTAGGATTACTTAGGCAGGCATGAATCAAGTAAATCAAGTACTGTAAAACATCACTGTGTGCATGATTTAATTAAATGAATACAACTATAGCATTCTGTTTAAAAGCTAAAAAAAAAGATCTTGCATGATACAGACCATTAGGGTCATGTTCACTCAGTATTTTTCTGTTAAATGGTTACTTTGTCTTTGCATGTCTACTGTTTGCTTACACCACAATGCTGCATGCTTTCTCTGAAAACTCTATGGTTTAAGCTGGTTCTCTGAATGGAAAAATTCATAAGCATCCCAGGTTTTATTTTATTGATAGAGCAAACAGAAATTCCCACCATTGAAAAGCCTCGGTACATCCACAGTATAATGGCAATCAATAGTAATTAGAAAGTAACTATTGGTATGCATGTTGGTTTTGCTGACTTAAAGAATGAACACCTACTTGTTGCATGGAAGAAAACTTGCACCATTTTCAAAGTCCTGTGCAAAGAGGCAAAGACAATTTAAATCTACCGGTAGTCATTTAAATGTGTTGTTAGCAGACGTTAGAGTATCAACTTAAGTTTTTTACTCAAATAAAAGTTTAAAAGTACCAGTTTTAAAAGGACTACTACTAAAAGTAAAAGTAATGCAGGAAAAATGAAATCATATAATGCACTACCATTTTAAAGGAACATTTTTCTACAATTCTGCATGATAACTTCCTTATATGTAATTTTCTTTGTTTTATAACTAAGGGTAACAGTGTCATAATTAACTTTGCTTTATCTTGAGAAACTAGTAATTTTGGTATGTAGTGAACAAGTTGGTGCAGCACTGAGTCCAACCGCACATAGATTAATTATCTGGAGGAAACAAATTATTTTTATGTTTTTTATTTGTTTAAAAAACCAACAGGCCATCGTGAAAACGAGCTTAAAAGAAACGACACAAACAAGTCTTTTGTTTTAAATGTAAGGAGTTGTCCAAAAATTACTTAAGTAAGGTCATGAACTATTTGTACTTTGTTACTTGACACCTCTGGTTATTAGAATTTAAAAACAATCCAGTTTCTGATAAATCGTTGTCCCAAAGGGCCCAAGTTAATATGTAAACTAGGAAAATGTTGTAAGGATAAGAGATGCTTAAACTGTGTTTCTCCTTTTTCATCTTTTCTCCTTTTTTTCTGCTTTTCTTTCCTGTTCTACTTACATTGCAGTGTCCATATAATCTGTAATACTTGCATGAATCATAATAAAGCTATTTATATGCATTAATCAAACGGAACAATATGGCGATAGCCCTACTGCTCCACTTTTGAAAGTAAAATCTGTTGGGCTCTTTTCTGGCATCAAGACAATTATTCTTAATGCCACATCGCCAGATAGGACACAGTTTAAAAAAAAAAAAAAAAAAGATTTGGAAGTTGACGTGTCAAAGGTCAATTGGGATGCTAACCTGCAAATAGCATGATGCCTAGATAGGGTAGATGGGTCCGATCCTTTAACCCCTGCACCAATGTTTTAGGAGGAAAAAACATTTAAGCTGGTTAAAATAATGGAAATTTATTAGACAACATAAAAATAAAAAAAACATCAATAAATCCAGGGGAAAAAATGGAAGATTAAATGCATAAAATGTCACCTTTTTCATATTACACATTATTTCCAGTTATCTGGAGTTATCTAAATTTAATATAATATTTAACTAGTGTCAAAATCGATATTTTGAATAAGTCTTAACATACTCTGAGGGAAATGTAAATAGTTTTTAGATAGAGTTCACATTTAGTTCTGGGCCAGATTTCCTAATTCAAATATCTGTATTCATATTGTATCAGAAAAAGAAGAAGGAAAAAGCGATGTACCAAAAACTGCTATGCTACTTTACACCAATAGAAACAAAGCAAAGGTTTATGCAGAATATCTGGGAAACAGTCAGTGCATAATTCAAGCCGTTCTGTATGAGAGATGAGGTCAAGTTAATGCAGCCAACTAAGGATTAACTGCATACTAAGTTTATTTTTTGTTTATTTTTAAAGGAGGACTAATCGGACATGCTCTATAAAGCATGTGTATATTATTTCCAAATGTCTTAAAAAGAAGCAGCATTTAGCGTTTATGCTCCATTTATCTGGACCAAACTTCCAGAGGACTGTAAAAGTGCTGAAAGCCTTTGTTTAGAGCTCCTACGACTGTTAAACTTAGACTATTCACTAAGGTATAAATAATTCAAGTTTGCGGTCCAACTGTTTTGTTTTACTCATTTTTTATCTTAACTTGCTTTTATTTTCCATCTATTGTATTGTTTGATTATGTAAAGCCCTTTGAATCATCTTTGTAATTAATTCTATGATACAAATAAAGTTGCCTTGCCTAAATGGACAACCTACCATTAAATTTAGCGTCCTTGCTGCCATCAGAGGGTTAAGCTAACCAGTGGGACTGCTGTTTACATGCCGCTGCTCAGCTACTTTGTCACAATAGTTGTATTTAGATTTTGTAATCTCCTGGTCTTAAACACATGTCAATGTTTTTCTTTGATTCCTATCTTAAAAAATGTTGTCATGTTTCACCACTTCTGCACTGGCAGAGGTTTAAAACAAAGGGAACTGTGTGGTGGGAGATGAAAAGGTGCACAGCTGGGAGCTATTGCTTTCCTAGGCTCACATTTCTTTGATATGTATTGTTAAAGAAAAACATGAACATGAGGAGGATGGTTTGCCTGTTAGTTTGCCTGGTGATCTTAAATATAGTGTTTGTGGCTCCAGCCTGTTCAACATTACAAGGTTGAAGTTACGAGAAAGTGGAGATTTGGATGAATCGTTGCACCCATAGGTTTTTTTTATTTTTATTTATTTATTGAATACAAAATGCTTTAGTTCATGTATCATATGTATTGTTCCATACAGTTATAGTAAAGTTTTGAAGATAAACTGTTTCCTTAACCTCCAACTCTTTAGTTGCATCACTTACATTTGCAATCACAGATAGGCCATGCAGTGTTACAATTTGAATGCTATGGAGCCTTTTTTTTAAGAAAAAACGGTAAAAACGTTTAGCAAAAACAGTGGCAAAAGTGAAATGCAAAGCTTTTCTCAGTATAAACAGGACATTTAAGATGTGTGAGTGTTACTAATGTCACCGATTATCTCTCCTTTCAGCTATTTGTACAAGAATGAAATCCAATCAATTGACAGACAAGCATTTAAGGGCCTTGTCTCTCTTGAACAACTGTAAGTGACCGAATCCTTAATTCACCTTCTCTATTTGCTCGCGGCGCTGTGCCTTCTTCTACCGATAATCACCTCGTTCCCTTTCCCTCTCCGAAGGACCTCTGTAAAGAAATCCTACTGCCTGGTATAGCTGCCATGCTTAAGCTGCATCTTTATGAGTCATAAGATGCACCAAACTCAGCATGAACTGTACTGTTTAGGTGTAGATGAACATTATGCTGCTACATGCAACGGCCCTTATCCCCCTTTTTTGTTGCCATGCATGTCATTTGTGCACCTGACCTCTGTGTGCTGTGCTGTGACCCCCCTTTGCATGAGTCCCATGGTAATGATGGCAGCTTTGCCCCTTTCACCGTAAAGCTTTAAACATGAATGTTAGTGTTCTGCTGCAGTCAGGAGTACTGTAGAGCAAAGCTTTGACCTGCCTCTGTCTTCTTGCTGCAAAAATCACACTTCTCCTGTTTGCTGGAATCTGTGTGTGTATGCAATTTTTGTAGAATAACCCTGCACTGTTTGTGCCTTATGTGTGAGTCCAGCTACTCCCTTCCTGAAAAAACAGATAATTTTGTCTTCTCTTAATGCAAGGTTGTTTAACTTCAACCCCTCTGGAACTTTTAGATATTGCTGCTTAAACAAACCAGAATAAAAGGACTAAAAAAAAAAAAAACTCAGTAATTTGACTTAATTAGTCTTACATTATAATGTTTTCTTTTAACTGCTGTATCTTTTGAGTTTTGGACACTTTGTGCACACTGGATTGTAATAAACCCTTTAATGAAAAAAAAAAAAAAGAAGTATCCAAAGGAAACCTAACCCTAAATCCAAACCCCCTCACCCCGCTCAGCCATTTTTCATCCATTTTTATCATTAGCAACAGTTAGAATCATGGAATCACTCAAACTGAGCTTGTATGACAGCAAAAAGTAGGCCCAATAAATCAAAAACAACACAACATGCCCTCATATAAAAATATATTAAGCATAGACCAAAAACAGAGTCTCTGTTATATATCAGAATAGTGTGGATGATGGTCAGGCCTCCTGCTTTAGGATCTGGACTTAAAATGCCAGCACCATGCAGACAAGGGAACCATACGTTCACTAATGTCTCCTCAGATTTTACTGTGTAAAACAGACATCATGCAGTATGTTCACCTTCAGAGGCAGTGGAAACTTTTCTGTGCAAATTGGGTTTCACTGTCATACAGTACAGTTGGAACATGGATTATGGTTAGACAGCTCAATATTATGTATAATTTTGCTGAAAAAGAAAACTGATGTCACATCCGTTTGAACCGAAAATGAGAAACAATCGTCCCGGAGCCCGATCCTCTGGTAATAGATCTGTCAGTTCCCTCTTCAGACCTCATCTGTGATCAATGCAGAAAAGTCCAGCAAACACTTTATGTTGTCTTTTATAAAACACCTTTAATCAGGATCCCCACACATTTTGCATTAAGACAACTGAAATCGACATCCAGCAAAGACATTATTCAGGAAGTAGAGGGTGCTTATTGTCTAGCTCTGTTCCCGTAAGATAATGTTAAAGCATTTCAGCATATATGTGATGGACACAAAATTCTACTGTCCCACATTTGACATTCTTTTCCATAAAATGCAGCAGTCTGAATTGCTTCGGTCGCTTGAATGTCTGAATGTATTGCAAGATAATTGGAATATGGCAGAAATGCCTGCAAAATGCATTTGATATTAGTATGTCTGAAGTAGAATAAAAATATCCTTGCAAATTAAAGGCGCACAAATTTAATTTGAGTTATAAAATGCTTAAGTTGACAGCTTTAAACTGATTTCTGCTTTGTTTTGTTTAATCAAACCAAGAGTAAAAGACTTGGTTAATAAATATGTTTCCAGTGTCAGATTTAGACCAAGCAGCTGTTTTGAATTTCTCTCCAGTCAGCAAATGCTTTGTGTGTTAATTACACATCGTAAATCACTGTAAATATAATAAAACATGAGCCCGGGCATGAAGTCTCATTGTGCCTTTGGTCTTACTGAGGAAATATGAAATCAGTGCTTGATGATTCATCACCTCTCCTGTAATCCAGAGGTGAGTAAGCTTTAGGTCTGAATGGCTCTCTGTAATGGCTGTGGCTTTAGGTTTAAACAGCTGAACTTGATGTTTTATAGCAGCTTATTATTATTAGGACTGGCATTATTTCAGTATTGTTTTTTTTGACACAGAAAAGGGTCTTTGTCTTTCGTCTCTCTGCCTGTTTTACTGCTGCATCAGATTTCAGGTGAAGGCAATTGAAATCTGAACATTTTGTTTATCCAGCCGTTTGTCAGCTGTTTGCTATGTTTCTAATATATTGTACATTTATACACTTTTTTCCAACTTCCAAAACCTAGAAGACATCTTACGGACAAAGTCTGACTCTATTGTGTTTTAATTTGGACACAATCTAGACAATGTCATGGTTTTGGTTCTGTTTAAGTTTTATCTTTGAGTGGTTTTATTTCCATAGAATCCGCCCTTAAGTGGAGGGTACTGCCACAGTATGGTGGAGGTTTGACAGGACCTGAATGCAGACACTGAAGCTGAGGTGGTTTCTTGAGATTTAATAACAAAAAGGGTAACAGCAGCAAAATTCCCTTAACATAAATACACAAAAACTGAGAACCAGGAATACGCAGAACGAGTGGGCAAAGAAATTACGGCAAACCCGCAACAGTGGCTGAGCAGGAGGTGCATATATGGGAGAGAAACAAAGACCAGGCTAATAAATAGATTGGGAGCAGGTGTGAACAGAGGAGGCTAGAAGGGAGCTAGGAGAAGGAGACTTACAGAAGACGGCAACAGAGAGCAAACAAGAAATACCTAAGAATTTAAATACAATCAAAAATAACTAGGATAACACAAAATGGAAATAAAACCACTGAAACCTCAAAGATCAAATTTAACAGACAAAACCGACAAGAACCAAAATCATGACAGACAAAGTGTTATTGGATCTGAATCTGACTTTATTATTAGTTTGTAATGGAAGGAAGGATTGTATCAAATTAGAAGTTGGTCAAATTGGATTCTGTATCACTAGAAATAATAAATGTTGTTATGTACCTGAGTTAATATTGATTATTATCCAAATTAAGTAACTAAATTTAATTAACCTTGCTTTCAGTTCTTTTCATAAAACATTCTTCTTTTGCTTCAGTACTTCCACCTTTGCCGATCCGAATAAAATTAGACATTATGAAGAACTCAGACATCTGCCTGAAAGGTGCATTTAGCCAAATAAATGTAGTGGTAACAGCAGACCTTTTCTATAACTCAATTTATTTCAGTTTATTTATATAGCTCCTATTCACAGCACATATAATCTCAAGGCACTTTACAGAGACAATTCAACCAGATCATACAGTCAGATTACTTTCTAAGGAAACCCAGTTGTTTGCATTGACATAAAGGCATTTCCTCACACCTAGCATGCTTGTAGCGACAGTGGAGGCGAAAGCTCCCTTTAATTAAAGTTAAAGTTTGTCATCAGGCCCTTGAGTGAACCTGAGGTGATAATAAGTACATTTCTCTAATCTCAAGAACCAAAAAGCAGAGATGCAGCAATCCAAAACCTGGATTAAATATGGGCTCTGATTTGGACTAATTAGCTAGATCCAGTCCAGGGCTTACATAGAACTGTTATTTCTTTCTTTTTGCCGCTAATGTACACTTTATACCTATGTTTATTTTTTACTCTTTTTACTAATGTTATGTCAAATCTAAAGCCTTCACTCACATGGCTCATTCATTCTACAGTTGGATCGGATCGGCCCAGCTATCTATATCGGATTAGAGCTGGAAAAAAAAAAAAAACGGGATCTACATAAAAGTAGTTTAAATTTACCAATAATTCCTGCTGATAAAACTGCAGATGCAGGAATATAGACATCCTTATGCAAAGCAGGAAAAAAATATTTAGCTGGGGTACTATTTGTCAGAATCCTTATTTAAATAACAGATTTTAGTCTCTTTTTTTTTGACATATTTCTCTTGATACAACATTCAGTTCCCTGCATTTAAAATGGATCCTTTTAATTTAAATCAATTTATCCTGAATGTCTAAACATAGCTTCCCCAGGCTGCCCAGACTTACAGGTGTTTCTTTCTGTATTTTTCTTTGTGACACACTATCATCCAGCCCGTCGACGGCCCAGCCTCCACCCTTTTCTCAAAACATCTGTACCATCATGTTCCATCTCTTAATTAGGTTTCACTCTGAAATGCACGTATTTATGTATTTTGTTCTGTTTCAGATACCTGCACTTCAACAGCATCGAGTCGTTGGAACCAGAATCCTTTACCCATCTGCCAAAGTTGGAACGACTGTAGGTGCACTCTCACCTCTTAGCTAAAATTCATAAAAAGGGTTTTAAACCACAGAAAATAGAAGAAAATCTGTTTTACACCAAGATCGGCTCCCATAAATTAATAATTAGTATAGGATTTAATTTCTTTATTTAACTAGATATGCATCATTAGTATGTTTTTATACAGTTCCCTCTCTCTTTTTTCTCCATAAATGACTTAACAATCTGTCAGGTTCTTGTTTTGTTGTTTGAGCTTGTTGTATTTGCACATGCAGCCTTGAGTTTTCACAAAAAGATGGAACACCTGCGGGGGGAAAAAAAATAAGGCGAAGGGGAGGGAAGGAATTCCCAGGTGCATAGTTTATCTGTTGTTGGGGAAGATTTCCATGGACACAGTCAAAGCAGTACAAGGAAAATCTTTGAATCAGTTTCCTGACAGGAAAGATAAAGAACTGTGTCACAGTTTGATCAAAAAGTCTTGCATAAACCAGAAAATGCTGTTACTTGTAGATTAAAAATTAACCTACCGGTATTATTACCAAAGACAACATTTCCATAATCAAGTTTTCCTGTCAATTGTTTGTTTTTCTCTCTCTCTGATCTCCATGCCAGGTTTCTGCACAACAACAAAATAGCGCATCTTGTCCCAGGAACCTTCACTCATCTTGAATCCATGAAACGACTGTAAGTAAAAGAATCCTAAATCAAAATCTGACGGATGTTTTTAGGGTGGTATGAGAAGTGGATTATTAAAATATAAGCAGCTTGCTGATTAAATTCCCCTAAAATGCTGCATTCTTTAGTTCTGACACCAGCTTTCCTTTCCGTGTCTCTGAGTTTATCTTCTGAGGAAGAATCAGCTGCTTGGCCCCTTTTCCTAAAATCATAAATTTACTTCTAATGTTTAAATGAGTGTTTAAGAAAAGAGACCCAAGAGCCTAGTTAATCACGCTGGCTTTGCTCTGGTTATGGCTTTGCACATTGGAAGATATAAACAGTATTAGACTGTGAGATAGGAAGAAAAGAATCCTCTAAAGTCCCCATTCAATCCTCTTGAGTGTAAAACATCTTTTTCAGCGACATATGGGAGTAAAGCTGAACCAGAAGAGGAGTTAAAGCAGCGAGACCAGTTCCCAGAGTGAGAACAAGCTGTTCCCGTGTTGTTTTGGTGGGCCCCACTGTTTGCACAGAGCTGGATTTGGTGGTGCCAGACACGCTGTAGCTCATGAACCGCCACACAGGCGTGTTTTCAACGCCGTGCTATACGGCTAATCTGATCGCAGGTTGACAGCTCTGAGGTGCAGATGTGAATGCTTTGTAAACACAACCACTTAGGCTGCTTTTGGAGGTGTTCCTGGCCACCCATGATGTTATTCTTTCAGCATCTGTAGAACCACACAGGTCCTGAAACCAACTGAACAGATTTCTCTTCACTGGGCAATAAGGTCTGTTAGATTGCTTGCAACAGACTGGTTATGGGTGAAATCTGCAGAGTAATAGAGCTGAATCTACTCATAGATCTCTTTGAGCCAGTTTTATTCTGATGCCTGACGCTGATTTACACTGATAGCCCAAATAAAACAACCTCATTTAAAAGGGGTTTAAACTTCGCTGCAAATTTAGAGAATCATACATCGAATTATAACTACAGTAGTAGCCATTCAAAATTCCCCCACTTTTCCTCAATGGGTCCTTGGCTGGCCCTGCAATTCCTTTTTAAACATTCTCTCATGATTTGTGGACTTTAAGATCTAAAGAGAAGCATCATCTCCTAGTCAGACTCTTTAATTCAGTGAATCAGGGTAAATCAGTGTAAAAATCTGTGTAAATCAGTGAGTCAAAGTTAAAAAAAAAATGTGCACGCCAAGGAGAAGGAGAGGTCACTCCAGCTGCTGGAAGTTGGAGAGGATTTTGCTGGGAGTTGCAGGTAAGTTGGCTGCCATTCGGCTGCTGTTTGACTGGAAAGGGCCATTTTGAATGGCTGCTACTGTACTTGTTAAATAAATCTTCCTTCAGGGACCATGAACCTTTAAATTAATCAATTAAAATGCTAAAAAGTACATAACATACGACCAAAAACTTAGTTATGTATGAATAAGCATAATTCTTGTTCAGGTGTAACTTTGCAGCTATACTATTAGAATTCAGAAAAAGAAAAAAAACACCTCTCAGCAGATGCTGTGCGAGGTTCCCATCTAAAATAGTAAACTGTCCACTTTGTGATATCGTCTCGATGCGTATATTTATTTATTCACCACATTTTATAGAGTTGTTCCGATTGTGATACTAGTATGAGAAATGGCATGGGTATTGGAGTCCAGGCAAAGATCCGATACATGTAATTTAAAACAGAATTAATTAACTGGTTAGTTCTAGTTAGGATAGAGAGAGTAAAAATGCTCAGCTTCTTGGAGAAGAATCTGCCTTTGTTCTTAAAATTATGAACAATGCTAAATTGCTCAAATCCAATCCAATCCACTTTATTTATATAGCACGATTTCAATAAACACAAGGTTTCCAAAGTGCAGCACAAAAAGATAAAATAACTAAAATAAATAAAAAATTAAATTAAATTAAATAAAAAATAAAAGCACTGCCCGCACAGGATAAAAATATGCATGTGTATACATAAAATCAACATGTGTATACATAAAATCAAATACTACTATAATGTCTAGTATACTTTTGTGTAAAAGTATTAAGGTACTATGAAGTTGCTGCTCTTTTGATTTTAATTTTCTGAATATTTAGGTTGGCATTGGTGGCATTCGTATAGGTTTTAGTTAGTCTTTGTAATTTGTTTAAATTGCTATTGGACTGTTTTTTATATTGTTCTATTGAAATACCTTTTAATTTTACATTACTATTGCTTTAAATTCTTAAAATAACAGTTCCCAGATTTATTTGAGTTCTTGGTTTACTACTGTTAATATTATTATCCAAAAAAATATAATAAATGGCTTACATTTGTTGTATTCATTCACCTTTCCATTCAAAGGTTTAACCTCAGCCAGGCTTTACCATACTAATCATCACAGTCATACAGGCATACATTGCAAAAAATGAGATCTAAGTATTTAAACTTTTCTTGAAACAAGTGCATTTTTTCTTGAATTAAGCAGCTAAGTAAGAAAATTTGCCAGTGATATAAGACAATTTACATTTAAAGTAGTAAAAAACAACAGTCATCCCTTAATTTCAAGTGCATAAGCATAACCCTAAGGGTAAAGATACTCATTCCTTATTTACCTACTTAAATTAAGGTTAAATACGCTTATTTTAAGAAATCTTTACATATTTGTAGATTTTTTTTGCAGTGCTGGATGATTATATATATTTTTTGTTATATATTGATATCATTAATTGGTATCAGCTGAAACATGGTATCGGAAAACCTCTAATATTTTAGTAATATAGCGTGTGAGCGAGTGTAAATGTAAAGTATAACTGTAAAAGTTTTCATTGTATCGATCCATCCAATGATTAAAAAGCTTTTTATTTTTTAATCATTGATTTTCTGTTGCTTGTACACAAGAAAAGTACTATTTTTATAGACATTTTTCTTATTTACACACAGTAAATTCTGATATAAGGTTCTACACCATTTATTTGGTTCTAATCCAACTCAGTCTCTACATGATCATGGCTGCATTTTTATTTATTTCTGTTTTATACATAAATGATTCTGTTGGAATGAGATGATACCCTTCACCTCAAAACTCCTAAAAAGGTCTCATTTATATAAAGTATTTGTTAGTAATGCTCCCAGAATCTTCTGATTTGCTTTTTTCTTGTGCCCATGTGTGCAGGCGACTGGATTCCAACTCTTTGAACTGTGACTGTGAGCTGCTGTGGCTGGCCGACCTGCTAAAGCAGTATGCAGAGTCTGGAAACGCCCAGGCTGCCGCCACCTGCGACCATCCCAGCCGACTGCAGGGCCGATCGGTGGCCACGCTCACTGCTGAGGAGCTCAACTGCGGTACAGACAGAAAAACAACAGCTTATAGCTTTAATCTGGTTCCTTTTAACCTTAGCTCTCTGTAACCTGCTTTAACATCATCAGTGGCATAGCTCTTTAAACTGTAAAAAATATAATCTATTACTACCCGAACCATCTATGTATTTTCAGAATTTTATTTTATTTTTTTTGATAATGTGGGGGAGATTTTCTGCTATAATTGCAGCAAAAAGTGTATATAAAAGTACTGACTTATACGCTGTAGTATGCTCTCTACAAAGAACAAATACTTAAAGATTTGATGTTGTCAAGTGACGAAATGACAAAAACAGGTATTAATACTTTGTAAGCCATCATAATTACAGCTTGATTTTTTTTTTTTATTTAACATTAAGAAGAGAAAAAAATTGTAAATTAAATCAGAATCATAGATATAATTTTCTGTGTGCTCAGCAGTAAATAAAATAAGTACAAACTGGTGATTTCTGTGGCCCAATACTGGTGTTAAACAGCTATTTCCATCAGAAAATGTCAATTAAAAAAGACAATTAAAGGAATTTTATTGATACAATTATTTTAGGACTTTGGCGCTCAAACCTCAGCAGGAATTATTAGCACTGAGTTTTACCTTAATATGCATAATCAGGTGTATGAGGACAGGGATGTTTCCCCCCAGGCCTGAAACTGGTGGCGGAGTGGAGATGGATGCAGTTGGTTCAGTCCATAAACTGCTGGTTGGTGAGACGATCTGCTTGAAGTGAATTGGTTAGATCCAATAGACTGTGTGAGCTGATGCTAGCGCTTCACTCTGGATCCGGATGATAAATGTCCAGCTTGGATAATCACAGGTATGCATAAACCTGTCCATGATAAGCAAACATGAAGCAACAGTGGAGAGGAAAAACCTCTAGCAGAACCAGGCTCAATGTGGCGGTCTTCTGCTGGATCAGTTAAGATGTGACATGGAATGCAGTAAGAGTCCACGAGAAATTACAGTCTGATGGAGACGAAGTAGAAGAAGCACCATGGAAAAGTCAGATGAAGCTATGATGGTGGAGAAGGGGATAGAGGTGGGTTGAATCGGGGTCATCTGAGTCAAAATCAGACACCGCTACCACTGCTTGCGCTTGGCAAGTCGTGGGTTTGAAGACCTTTTAAAGTGAACTCTGGATGCTGATTGGGCTTCGTGGAGATGCGGTTCAAAGCTGATTAATTTGCGTCAGATACATGCGTTCAACTTTATATATTTCATACAGAAAAATCCCCTTTAGAACATATAGAAAGTAGCCTGACCTACCTTCCCACAAACATCACATGTGTTGAGTCACTGTGTAAAATTCATTCACATACTGTAGACTGTTGACACAACAGCATTTTTTCTGTTCTTTGTGTAAGCAGCTGTTTTGATACCAGCTGGAGGAAACGTCATTCTGTGGTCACTGTGACCACAAGCAGCTGTTCACTTTATCAGTTAGAGGGGAAAATAGTTTATCTTACTGTATAAAGGAAGTTGAAAGGATGTTTACTGCTGAAATATAGAACTTTACGAGAATATACGGGTTTCCGTCTAGATAACCTTAGAACAGGACAAGTTGTGAATAAAAGCTCCTGAGGGTTTTCTTTTCATTCAAAATTACTTTAGTTTAAAATCCCATCTTGGAAAAAAAAATAAGAACCAGCGAAATATTGAAAATGTTGTAAAACGGATTTGAATATCTGAGCAAGTCAGTCGTTTTGAAGTGGGAAACGTGTAGAAATTCTTGATATAGAAGCGCATCTGCATCTATAGCAGTACTGAAGTCATACTTTCAGAATATGCAAATAGAATATATTGTTTGTTCTATCTCAATAGATCAGGACTTAGACTTGGCCTCTACTCAAAAATCTTCATTTTATTTTACTGTAATAAATACACTGACAAAAAACAAAACATGTAAACATGAAAAAACATGCAATTCCATTGCTGTATTCCTGTATTTTCTCCAGCTCTCAATGAATCCCTCAGTTTGAATCCGGCAACTGTAACTTAACCACAGTTTAATCTCAGCTGCTAAGCATAATGACCGTGACTTTCAGACGCCTGCCTAGTCTAACCCTCCTACTTCTTTCTATCCAATCAATGTCCTAAAGCCAGCAAATCATTTTAACCTCCCTCCAGCCGTCTTTTCCTTCCTGCTCCACCTCAGCCCCTGTAAGCAGGAAGGTATACTTTAGGACAGAGGAACCTTTCCTGTTTGTTGCTTCTGTGTGTGTTAGATTATACAGTACATGCTTGTGGTGAAAATTCATCCGGATCACCACTGAGCTCAGAAAGTATGTCCAGAAAGAAACATCTGGAATTTAGCCTCTGAATAAGTTTAGGGTTTCTATCTAACATTGATGCAAGGAAAAACTTGTTTAGAAGAAACTTAATTGTGGTAGTCATGGTAAAAAGAAGGAAACCAATAAAGGAAATTTATAGTTATAGTGTATCCTGTGAACACAATTCAGGCAAAAATCTTGGTGAAGAAGTTATTCCTTTACATTATTCTAGGAATTATTTTAGGACTGTTTCAAAACATTTCTTAGCTGAAGGGTTAAGAAAATATATTTTAAAAACACACACACATACAATATAAGACTACTACAACATTGTCCTTTAGTTAATGGGGTTAATCTTCAACTAATTTAGTAATCATTTACTCATTAACTGGAGTATAGAGACTCTAAAACATTCCTTTAACTGACAGAGTTCTATCCAGAACTCTTTATTTGGAAAAGTTTGTTTCTGATTACTTCTGTAAAAACTCTTCTTTATGGATCCTTGTTCTAACTGATTATTAAAAATTATAAAATTAAAATTATATTAGATTATATATAAAAAAAAAAAGAATCAACAGATTGATCAATTTGTAAAATATTCCTGAGTTGCAGCCTTTAATCCCATACATAACAGCAACAAAAACAAAAAGACTGGAAAAAGTCAAGAATCAGTGTGTTGCAGAGGCTCAAGTATAGGCCAGATTTCACTTACATTGAAAAACTTTAGTGGAAAATACTCAGAAATATTCAGAAATGAGGGTCTTAATCCCCAAAGACCTTAATTATAAATTTACTTTTAAATTCTTGTTCATAAAACCTTGGACTAAATACATATTAGTGTAACTCTTGTCTAATTTTCTCATTTCAGAGGTTCCAAGGATCACCTCAGAGCCGCGGGATGTCGACGTTACATCAGGAAACACTGTTTACTTCACCTGTAGGGCTGAGGGCAATCCCAAACCACAGATTATCTGGCTAAGAAACAAGTAAGTTATATCAAACACTTAAAAAAAGAAATAAAAGAACTGTGAATCAATGTCTTATTAGTTTTCAATATTAAAAAAAAAAACCCTGTTATAGTTTTTTTTATCTTTATTATTAAGAAAAAACACATTTTTAGTTTGGAAGAGATTATATATTTTTAATTCATTGACAGGATTGGCAAGAAGATAATAGAGACTCAACTTCATTTATTTTGAGCTTTTCAATACAGCTCAATTTACCAAAGTGCTTTACACACCCTTAAGAGCTAATAATGTAGGAAAGTAAGAACTATAAAAGCAAAAACAAAAACTATTAAAATATATCACACATAGGGACGTAAAAAAAAAAAAAAAGCCAAAATCTGAATCGAATTTAGAAACGACTAAGATGTGTTTTAAGAAAAGATTTAAAAACAGAACCTTTCTGATATGTGCAGTAAAGGTCATAGTTTTGTTTTGACAGTTTTGACATTTTATTTTGAAAAGCGAGATCACCTCTTCAGACTCTCTGTCTTCAGAATGACTAATAAAAGCTAATCTGGGGATAAAGCGGTAAAGGCACTTAAAAAACAATCAGTCTGACAAATTTTCCCATGATTTGATCTTTGCAACAGCAGGAGGATGCTCTCATTATTTGGTAGCAGCTAAAAGACCTTCTACCGTCTGTAGTTTAGCTACTTTGGTTTTGGTAAGTCCTCTATAAGGTGCATTGTGGTGCTCTAACTGAGTTTTCATAAAAGCTTTGAGTAAAATCTCAAAATGAAGTCATTATAGGAATGGATTAACTTTCGCCACCTGCCTCAGTAGAAAAAGCTGGACATGACCACTAATTTAAACTAAGCATCTAAATTAATATCTCTGTCTCGTATTACACCCTAAAAGGGTGTAAGCGATCCATAGCACTCCGTGTCAGACACTGAAAGTAAAAAAAAAAGATTAAAGAAATAAGAATTAAGATGCTTTTAAATCATTTGTGTAAATCATATTAAATGATACGGACACAGAAAACAAACTGTAACCATAGCGATGCATCGTTTTCAGGAAACAAAATGTACGTCTGTTGATGTTTTTTTCTAGCAATGCTTTAAATATGCGGGATGACAATCGTCTGAACCTGCTGGAAGATGGGACACTCATGATTCAAGACACCAGAGAGACCGATCAGGGAGTTTACCAATGCATGGCCAAAAATGTAGCCGGGGAAGTTAAGACTTCAGAGGTCACTCTTCGATACTTTGGAGCCCCCGGTAAGTGTGCCACTTAAATGTGTTTTTAATTCCTGTCCTCCACCTGTTAGTATCGTATCGTAGCTTCCAGACCTGATTTAAATGGCTAAATGACCTCTTCAGTATTCTACCAAGTTCTTCAGAAAGGGAAGTTAATCCAGGAGGAGAGGAATTGAAGATCCATGTTCTACCAGCTAAATTTTACTGTAAAAGTTGTGCTTTGATTTGGGGTAATAAAGAGTGTTGCACCGATACCGATACCAGTATCGGGTGGGGTCCCGATCCAGCGCTAAAATGGTGGTATCGGTATCAGCGAGTACCGACAAATAGTGGACCGATACCATTTTGAGAGCCAAAAGTTTATTCAACTATTGTCACCCATTCCAGGTAGGCAATAAAATGTTCTACTGGATTCACTTTGTATTAGATTTTCTCCTGCTTCACAAAGGTAGGCAGCAGCTTGACAAATCCATGATGGCAATTATTTTACATCGAGGCAGTATGCAGTTCTTCATATATACAAACGCACATCAATTTCAAAGAGATGGTATCGGTATCAGCCAATACTGCACAGCCAGGTATCGTATCGGGGCAAATAAAGGGAATCGGCACAACACTATTAATTACAATTTCACGCTAACGTAGATTGCAGGGGTAAGAGTTCATGTTGGGAGACCAAGCTAGTTTTATTATAATTCATCTCATTCTTGATATACCTTGTAACATATTTGAGTCTGATTTCAGCTAATTACTTCAGTACAAAAGTTAAAACCTTAAAAACTAGTTACAGTAAAACAGTTACCTAATAAAGGTATCAAAGATTATCTGAGGGGATTTTGACACACCTCTCTTTGAAAAGCTGCAATAAGGACCTCCAAAAAGTAAAAAAAAAAAAAAAACAATCCACTGAACGAACTTACTTGTTTTTTTTTTACTTTTTTTTAATGACTATGACCTGGATGACTGAGAACCGCATGTAATCAGGACCCCAAGCCATGACCTGGGAACGGAAGAAAACTTTTTGTGCAAGTTATTTTTTACCAAAATTACAATAGTTGATTTTAAGGCAAGTATCTAAATTAATGATCCTCAAATCAATTGACCAGTAAAAGTCAATTTCATACACTTCAAAGTATTTATAACACACCAGAAAGGCAAAGACAGTGTAGGGTGAACCTGTCTGGATCTACAGGTTAGATGTTGGTTTTGATTTGGTTTGTTATGGATTGCCATATGCTGCTATGTTTGCTTACTCTTAGCCAAGTGTTCTGTAGTTTATTTATTAGTTTTTAATTATTTTTATATAATCTTTCACTAGTCATTTTTCTGTATTATAGGACAGATCTAAATTCTTTCTTGTGTTTTTTCCCTATTTTCCCCTATTTCATGGTTTCTCTCTTATGGCTGATTTATACTCAGAAATCAGGTTGTCTGCATGTTTGTGTCACAGTGAACACAAATGTGCCTCCGCCCCTTCCGCAGACACTCTGCTGCAGTATTCATCGGGTCATAAAATTGACTTCATGTCTCTATGGATGTTCGCTTGTTTACCAACCACTATAACTTTATTAAATTCTCAAACTGGCAAACATCTGTACTTTGTTCCAGAACTCCGGATTATGACAGAATATGTCTGTGTGTTTTATTACTTTCTGTTCCAAAATACAAATAGAAACCAAAAAAAGTGATACCTGATATCATGGGAGATTTATTAGCATGTTTTCATGTGAAAATGAGATCATCAGGATTTTTTAGAGCTGATGTGCAGTTCTTGTCCCACTGATGGCAAACCAAACATATTTTCCTTATTCCGCAGTAAACATTGTCCAAATAAGGACACAGATAAACGAAATGTTCTATCTGACAAACATGAGAACACTCTGGCTTTGGACAATCTGTTTTCAGTTTTGAGTTGATGAAAGGTAATTTTTGTAAATAAGTAAAAAACAGTTTTAAAGAAATATTAAGAACGTTGCAAAGTAAATATTTATATGTCTCCATTTGTGTTGATGTGAAGTTTTGCTTTTTTTCCTCAAAACTTGAATCTCCTTTATTTTTTCTTGTATCATTTTTTTAAAATGTGAGGTTATAACGTAGTTGTGGTTTTGTAATCAAAAACAGGAATGTCTGAATCCCACAAATGTTCTAAATTTAAATTGTTTTAGTTAGCTGCTTTTTGTTTTTATCCTTTAATCAAAAAGTAAACTTGTCTGATTTTAGATCCAGCTTTATATCAGGCTTAAATTAAACATTTGTCACAGTTTGGTTATCTTTTTCAGAATATTGTATGTTTATTTCATAAAGAAATTCAGCTGAGAACAGACAATTTTCTAACTTTGGTAAATTCTAGAAGGCAGACTCTGCATTGAAGTTTGCAGGGCTTGGTAAAGATTTCAATTTCTTTCTTTCTTCTTGTTTTTTTCTTAAAGCACGACCAAGCTTTGTTATTCAGCCCCAGAATACAGAAGTTCTCATGGGCGAGAGTGTGACCCTGGAGTGCAGTGCCACTGGTCAGCCACAGCCAAGAGTCACATGGACGAAGGGTGATCGGACACCGTTGCCTAGCGATGATCGCATTAATATCACTCCGTCCGGAGGGCTTTACATCCAGAATGTTGTCAGGGAGGATGGAGGACTTTATACATGCTTTGCCTCTAATAACGTGGATACCATACATGCCACAGCACGCATCATTGTGCAAGGTAACCCTTTTAGATTTGGATTTCTTTTAGTGTGATTCTTTCCAATAAACTCTGCAGGTCTTATGCTTATTTGCAGGTTGTGTTTGGTGTGTTTTAGTCTTATGATAATACCACATACCCGTAATCTCATAAGAACTAATCTGAATTTAATTAAATTCAGTAATAAAACCCTCAGAAGCATGGGATAAACCTTTATTCATAGCTGAGCTTCATTATACTTTAAGTCACCTGCAAAGTTGTTTTAGTAAATGTCCCAATTTTATTTATGTTTTTAGTAATCCTGATGTTTTTTTGTCTTTTTTTGGAGCAGCAACCCCCCAGTTCACCGTCGCACCACAGGACCAGTCAGTCCTTGAAGGTCACACTGTGGATATTCCCTGTGAGGCCAGTGGTTACCCGGAGCCAGTTATTGTCTGGACTCGGGGTGGAACTCCAGTGCCTTCGGATCGACGTCACACAGTCCTGCCCATCGGTACCCTCCGGATCACTCGGGTGACGGTCCTTGACGAGGGCCAGTATGAGTGTGAGGCAGTGAGCCAAGTGGGGACAGTGAGCACCAGTATGCAGCTCAGCATAAAGCAGTTAGGTGAGGAACAAAAGGTATCAGTTTGTTACACTACAATCTGAAACATATTTTAAAAATGTGATAACCGTGTAAACTTGAAAACCGTTTAAAACTTACAGAACTGCCTCCTCAGAAGTTATCTTAATGTGCACATCGTTTTAGTTAGTAAGAGGAAACTTTGTTAAAAAGAGTTTAAGAGTCGGAAATTATGAAGCTCTCCTCATTTTCTGATGATTTATTGTTTTCCTTGGTTAGTGTATATGTAAATCGATTTTAATTGTAGGAAATATGGAGGTTATCTGGTAAAAAAAATAAAATAAATTATAGATAATAAAGTTATATATATATATATATATATATATATATATATATATATATATATATATATATATATAT